CCCTTGTTCCCTTTCTACAAAAGTTTAGAGGTTGTTGAATAACACGTGGTCTGCTCTTTCAAAAGATTATAAAATGGTGATCCGCCAAAATCAAAAAAAAAAGTTGAGATATCGTTTAATGGAAGAACTTGTAGTCTTACTTAATATATAAACATATAAATAAATAAATCAATCAATATATTTAAATATTTATCCATTCAGGAGACACGTTCATGCATTCAGAGCCTATTCTTTGATCATACCCAAGCGGTCCTTATATTATGTGTCCTGTACGAATACCATTCAGCTATTTGCTTTATGCATGTGCATTTGAGTAAACGAAATACTTTTGCTGTAAAGATTATACAATTTTCATGAGCTTAGCGCGATTAATATTAACCCATTTCATTTCTTAGAAAATAGAGTAAGTCTCGCATTCAAATCAACGACGCAAGTGGATTAACTTCAGAAAGACTAGGTTACTCTCTGAGTCCTGAATGTGTAAACACAGATGTTGGGTTTTATTGTTTAGAGCTTGATGTTTTTAAACATACGATTCGTTGATTCAAAGCACATAATTGCATATTTATTTAGGATGATAGAGTGATTCTCCATGAAATTCAACACATACGGAAGTGAACGTGAAATAAGGTTAGATAATAACATACATGGCTAATGTTAAGAGCAATTTCCTGGCTTAGGATTACCACGGTCTCCTTGGTCACCATGGACGGTGTGGTCCAGGGCGGAACGGTCCAGGACCCCGTGGCCCAGGTCCAAATGGACCCGGGCCATATGGTCCAGGTCCATATGGCCCGTATGGTCCAGGTCCGTATGGCCCGTATGGTCCCGGTCCGTATGGTCCATACGGTCCCGGCCCAAATGGTCCAGGTCCCCATGGTCCTGGCCATGGCCATACGGGGGGCCTAAAGATTCCTCCCACGCATCTCAGAAGTTTTTGCTGCTTGGGTGTTAGTTTATCTTGAACCTCCTTTTTCATCTGAGCTGCTTGTGGCTCAGTGAGCGACTGAAGCAATGTTTGCAGTATAAATCTACGACAGATCTTTGGAAAAATTGTATGTTGCCAGTAATCCCTTCACTTACATTGTCGTTATCGATTTGTCGTAGCTGTTGAAGTACCGATGGCATTTTCTGTATAGCTTCGTCCATCTCCTTTTC